CTCGGCGGCAAGCCCCGCCCCGCGCCGGCGCGGCGTCACGTGGCGCCGCGCGGGCTTCCCATTGGGAGAGGTGAGGGGGAGGAGCGCGGCACTTCCCTAGGATTGGTAAAGGGGGGCTGAGCTCCGATTGGCGGAGGGGTTGGCTCCGCGCGGTGCATGGTGGGGAGGGTGCGTGAGCGGCGGGCGGGATCATGGCGGCCATCGGGGTGCATTTAGGCTGCACCTGTGCATGCGTCGCTGTCTATAAGGTGGGGGGCGGCTTGGGGCCTGCATCACTCTTGGGTGCTGGGGCCTGCAGGGTGGTGCATTGCCCCTGGTGCGTGGTTGTCCCGGCTGAGCCCCCTCCCTGGTCCTGGTGCGTGGTTGTCCCGGCTGGACCCCGCTGCCTGGAGGGGCTGGTGCTGCTGGTCCCAGCCCAAGTCTCCCGGCAACGACCCAGGGAGGGTTTTCCCCTGACTTCCTGCGCGTCGAACACTGTGGCGCGGTGGCTCATTCCAGGTGCGAGAAAGCTTGAGTGACCACCCCCCCCACGGCTGCTCTTTCTGTCCTAGGATGGTCGTGCTGACGTGGTGGCCAACGATGCCGGCGACCGAGTCACCCCTGCCGTGGTCGCTTACTCCGAAAGCGAAGAGGTACATTTTTTTGCTGAAGTCACCAGCCGGAGGGGGGCGGATGGTGTCCATGCCGTCGTGCCATACCCATTCTCTTCTCTTTTCAGGTGGTGGGTTTGGCAGCCAAGCAAAGCAGAGTAAGGAATATCTCCAATACAGTGGTCAAAGTCAAACAGATCCTCGGGCGAAGGTAAGGCAACGGGCAGGAAAGGAAGTAACCTGGTTGTTTGGGGGAGTGTATACAGCAGGGGTGTCGGACATAAAGGCTGAGGAGTCTTGCCACCTGGTGCTGAATAGACCCACGTGGGTTGTGGCATAAATCCTTCGGATGGGGCTGTCCTCAGGCTGGCTAGGGCCCATCCCCTCCTCTGGCAGACTGCATCTGGCCACCACTCCAGACTTGTGCTGTGTATGTCACAGGTCCCAGAGAGGCCAGAGCAGATGCTCCGTGCAGGGCAATCCGGCCAGGACAGAAGCAGAGCTGCAAGAAGTGGCTGGACTGTGCCCCATGCAGCACTTGCTCTGGAGCACATGTTGCATGCTGTGCCTGCTCCAGCTAGTCTGGGACCTGTGCTGCATGCAATAGATGCAACTTGGATCCTAGACTGACTAGAACAGCCACCATGTGCAGTGTGGTCCTGGAGGAGCCAGGGCAAGCACCGTGTGGAATGTAGTCCAGCTAGGGCAGTTACTGCATGCAGCATTGCTGCTCCTCCAGCCAGACTGCACTGCACACAGTGCCCATCCTCCTGCTTCAGGATCTGCACTGGGCAGGTCCCAGACTAAGTGGAGAAGCTGCTGAATCGGATATGCTGGGGGAAAGAAAATGTGGTGGGAAGGGTTCAGCCGCTTGCCATTCATCCTGCCTCAGGTGCTGGATGAGTTTGACACCTCTGATATACAGTGTGTATTATGACAAGGGAATGGGAATGGCAGCTTTTATACAAAGTGCATTGATGCGTGTCTTCTAGCTACAGCTGGTCTGCTAATGGTGTTTATTTTTTAGCTGTAGAAGAAAAATCAAAACTGGATGGTTACCTAAAGGGTTCCATAACTTCCAGAATCATGGCCTGCAGTCATGTTCCTTTTCTGTAATAAATTGTGGAATAAAAAATTTGAATAGTGTACAAATTTTTCTTGCTGAAACAAACAACAACATGAATTTGCAAAGTTGTAATTTTTTATATCTTATAACATGTACTGAATATTGGTGCTTTTGCTGTACTTCTCAACGGTTGTCTCATTACCATACTCCTTTATTTTACATTTAAAAAAATCATCAAGGCTAAATTCTGTTGCAGTACACTTGATGATAGAGCATTAGTTACCTTGAAATTTAAATAAATTACAGTGGTAAAAAATAAAATGGCAAAAGAGAAATTGCAGTGTGAATAGTGTTCTTGTGTTTGTCACTTCAAATGAGCAAGCTGATGTTAAGAGTTGATGGTGTAAATCCTTGTAACAACAATTCTTTTCCATCAGAGAAGTTATGGAAAACCATTAGGCAACTTGGGGAACATTAACACTTTTTAACCAGTTTAATCTGGTAATAATTGTTTTCTCTCTCATCTTTTGGGTGCAAAATTTTAACTGATAGAATTGTTGAACTTCCTTCCCTTTCTTAAGATACCATTTCTGTTTATTGTTACAGTGGATACAATTATAATGAATGTGATATGACAGCAAAGTAAAAAGGTCACTTGGAATATATGGGGGGAAACTAATCATGACTTTTATTTTCTAGTCATAAAGATAACTTTGGGTAAAACAAGTGTGGGTGTGTTTCTTTTGCTTTTTTTCTTCCAGTGTGCGTGTTCAAAAAAGTTTTTTTTTAAAGCCTTGTCCCTCTCATTTTGAGTTAAAATCATAGAAAGTTGGGGTTGGAAGGGACCTCAGGAAGTCATCTAGTCAAAGCAGGACCATCCCAGCCAAAGCTTGGTCTAGCCGGGTCTTAAAATTCCCCAAGGATCCACCACCTCTGGGTAACCTGTTCCAGTGCTTCACTACCTTCCTACTGAGAAAAGTCTTCCTAAAGTCTAACCTAAACTTCCTTTGCTACAACTTGAGCCCATTGCTCCTTATTCTGTCATCTCTCATCCTGAGAACAGGATGGGAGTTGAGATGGACTGTTCTAAACTCCTCTTTAGGTAGTTGAAGGCTGCTATTAAATCCCCTCTGTCTCCATAAGCCCAGTTCCCTCAGTCTTTCCTCAGAAGTCATGTCTCCTAGCCCCCTCACCATTTTGTCACCCTCCACTGGACTCTCTCTGATTTGTCCACATCCTTTCTGTAGTGGGAGGCCCAAAACTGGACACATTACTCAAGCTGTGACTTTACCAGTGCCAAATAGCGGGAATAATAACGTCCCTTGAGGTGTAAGGGGCAGAACCACCGTCTTACTGTGCACTGATTAGTCATGGCAACAGGGTATTTGACTGACGCACAATAAAGTAGTGTTCTTTGTAGACCATGTGGTCTGAAACTGTAAATGCTTATTAACAAGATCAGCAGTGTACATAATATTAACTATGTGGTCACTTTTTTGCTAATTTTTGTTTGCCTTCACAGCTCTGGTGACCCCCAAGCTGAAAAATACATTACAGAAAGCAAATGCTCAGTAAGTATGATCTATTTTTCCCCCTATCCCTCCTTTTTTTTTTTCTTTCTTTACAGAGTTTTTTTTCAGTGTCTTTTTATGCTTCATTGCATTGTAATTGTAGTGATCAGTTCCTTATGACTATGGATCTACCTAAATCCATACCAGAAGTGCATTGCATAGTAGTGGCTCCTTCTAATCCTCCATGCTCCACCCTCCCCATTGCAGATAGGCCAAGGGTCCCTTGGCCACCCTGCTACTTGCTCCTGATCAGCCAGGAGGCGAAAAACAATTTGAAATATCCTGTGGTTTTTGTCTTCTGCTGCTGAATGGCTGAGGGGCCCCAGTGGCCCTGCCACTTGCTGCTTATTGGATGGGAGGCAAAAACTGTGGCATATTTAAAACTGCAGTTTTGCTTCGCAGCCCATCAAGAGTAAGAAGCATAGGGCCACCAGGGTCCTTCAGCCAATCAGCAGTGTGGCGGGGGGGAGGGAGTCAGTGTGGTGAAAAGAGCAAAATTAAAGGAGTAGCTGTGCAGTGCACTTCCAGCATGATTTAGGTAGATCCCTACTTGTGACAGACTGACATTGTGGGACCCTGTCTGGTATGGGCTTCTCTTGTTAACACGATTTTTTTTGGTGGGGGGGAGGTGTTCTCCATGTACTGCTGGAGTGTGTGTGTGCATGGGCGGAGTTTAAACCATTCAAAAGAGGTGGCTTATACCTAATATGCTTTGAACATCTCTTTGGAAAATTTGTTGCACCTGGGATGGGCTCTTATTTTATCTGAAGAAGTAAAAGAGAATTCAAAGCAAGTTCCTCCAAACTGTGCGCCAGTTTCTCTGCATCTATTTACTGCCGTACTAACTTAATACTAATACAGCTTAACTACCTCTTGTGGCGGGCCAGTAGGGGGTGCTCTTGCATTGAGCCACCCACCTTACTGCATCCGACCACCTTCCAGGCTCCGAGTGCCTCCCTGGGGGTGTCTCGCCTCTGGTCGACTCCCTGGAGCATAGCTGCTAGCCTGGGGGTAGAGCTGCCCCCACCCAGGGATGGGCTTGATTCTGGCTCTGCGCCCCCTAGGAAACACAGGCCTGGTAGTCCTCAAGGGTACTTGATTCACTTCAAGAATTTGGGGTGCTTCCCTCAGTCAGAAACACAAGTCAGCTGAACCAAGGGGACCCCAAGGCATAATCTAGACCCACTCCCAATAAGTTTCCCATGCTAGGTACAAAGAAGAACTTTATTGGTTACAAGGAGTAGGGTTGGAATAGGGTACAGAGTTAAGTAGCATCAGAGAAATCCTATAGAGCAAACTGGTATGGCTGGGTAGCCTTTGATCACTCATCTGAGTTACTGCAAGCTATATATCTAGTTGGATCTCAGGTAGCTTACTCACAGGTATCATCCAGAGGCAGGTGGAGATTCCCTCTGGAGGCAGGCAGTTCCTTGATCATGAGTTTTGAGAGAGAGACAGCAAGTTTCAGATGGTTCAGCTC